TTTACAAACTAAACCATTTAAATACTTCAAATATTTAAATCCTTCCTGCCAGCATAAGCTTCACTGTGATTGCATCAGTATCTAATTTTAACCACTACATTAAACGTATCTTCAAACAGTCCTACCAATGATTAATTTAAACCATCTCTTCAAAATAATGTGTTCACGGTACTCCTCAGCCAAACGAGTGGTCCCCAAAAGCCATCGGGGGAGAATGATGACATTTCCGGTCAGCAGCAGCAAGCCAGGCCTCATGGGGACTTCCTAGTTGGCCTGGTGACAGCAGCTTTCTTGCCTGGAGTGGAGTTCTCACAAAGTTCACTAAGTATTTGTTTTGGAGATACCTCAGATACTAACTAGTAATAGTTTCTTCTAAAATAGTTTGACTCTAGCTTGTTTGAAATAGGACATTCTCCCTGTCTTCTTTGCCTAAATCGGAGTTCTTTGTCTTCAAGAAAAAGGTTCGGCAAAGAAGTCCTCTATTATTCTGACCTCAAGAAATCTATTTTTCTAGGGTAATGTGGCCTCACAGGAAAGTTAAGCAAGGACATGGGTGGGGATAGTAGATTGCTTCCCAGCAACTTGTGAGTCAGATTATTATTATTCAGTTTCATCATTTTGTTGGAAGGGAATTCCCAGAACTCCAACAGTTCTCAGATGCTTAGATTACACAGAAATACATTCCAAAGTAAAAAACACAGTCACAGTGCTTTCCACCCATCTGCTTCTTACTATTCACTAATATAATTATCCTCTCATATGTTGTCTGGTGTACATTCTTAAGTCTAATTTGTTGGCTGAATAAGCCATGTGACCATGGGCAAGCTTCCTCTTGACCCCACACATCACAGCCCTCATCTGTGCCCAGGGTCAGGGTAGCCAAACGGTTCAAGTCCTTCCGACTCCACACGTACATTTGCAGTTCTCCGAACTAAGTCTGAGTTTCTTTAGAAAGCTTGTCAAGAACACTGTGCCTGGCCAACCCCTTGCAGGATGATGACATTGTACTTAATCCAATTTCCCAATTAAAATGAACTTTTTTATGATTTTTTATTTAGGGTCTGTCTCCCTCTGCTAAGGGTTAAATTCCAAGAGGACAGAACCAATATCTTTCTCCCTGAGCACTGTCACTCCAGCACCTAACACGGCGCCTGGTACGTTTCAAGCACTCAGTGAGTATTTGTTGAGCAAAGGATGGGGGGCACCTGGGAGCTGGATGCCTGCCTGCGCAACACTGGCAATGAGGAAGCCTGACTAGGGTAGGGTTGGGCGAGTTTCCCGAGCTTCTCTGACCTCAAAGGCAGCAGGAGCCTTCAGACAACTTGACTACTGTCGGGGACCTCTTCTAACAGCTGATGCTGCAGAATCAGCAATCCTCACTCCCTAAAACAGTCCTAGCTATGATTTCACACTCTGGGGCAGACAAAGCAATACAGCAGTTGTGGAGCTCTATACTTGTGAGGGCTATACCTATAGAAATTCTGGATGGCCCAGGATTTAGACACCTGCCTCTCACCTCTCCACCCTGGCCCAGGCCTGCCACACCAGCTTCTACTCCACTTGTGGTGCTGACCCTCATCTCCCCAGCACAGGGTATTCTCAACCTCCTAATGCAACTTGGCAAACCAGAGCCACCACTAGCAGTGAGCCCTGCCTGCTGTGGGGTTTTGTCCACCAGGAGGAAAGGGAAAACTCAAAAGGTAGGTATGGTTAGACCAAGCCATGACCCAGAGAGCAGTTATTTTTTAATACTTTGCATGAAGGCAGCCCTGCCAGTAGCATCCTTTTTGTTTTCTTTTAACTCTAAAGAACCAAATGTTCTGTAGACACTGGTCAGTCACTACAAGTTACACAAAGTGCAAGGTCTGAGCTTTATGTAAAGTGCAGGACTTGCTCCATACACATGTGCCGGCAGTCAGTAGGCATGCTGAAACTTCCTTCCAGGCAGAGAAGCTGGGAGAAGGCCCGGGAAGGCTCCTCTCCCCTCTTCAACAGACACAGAGCTCTGCCCTCTACAAATGAATATGCCTCCTCACTGGCACACAAAACAAGATATTTTTACCTAACATCAAGTTAAATTTTAATAACAGTTTTAAGCTTAACATCTTCCTGTATGGTCTCCACAGGCATTTTGTTTTACTCTTGAAATCTGTCATCTCTACCAGAAGTTGCAAAATACAATATTCAGAATTTGGAATGACAACAACAAGGAATTGAGTGGAAGCAGAAAGGCAGAGCTAGAGCTCTGCTGGACTTTGGCAGGCTCACTCTTTGTCACAGGCCTTACATGTTTCCTAGGACAAAATTATCTGATTAATATGTGTGCTTTCCATAAACACTACCCATAGAATATGACCAAAGGCAGTATGCACTTAAACAAAGAAGTGTGAGGATAAAAGTATTTTCTTTCTTTCTTTTGCTGAATCTCTTCTTGGACTCACAATCCGGATATTTGACAATGTCAGCAGCCATTTGTCAATATCCAGCTGCTGAGACACATCTCCTGCATGAGATGAAAATAAACAAAATGCATGTTTTGCAAACTGTCAAACAGATGACTTGTGATTATAATACGTATCTGAAATTTGCATTAAAAATTTTTACCCAGAACCTACAGGGAAACAATTGGATTTTAAGTGCGTGTGTGTGCGCACACTCCTGCTTCTGCAAACTCTGAACAGGATGGGGGAGGGCAAAAGGAGAAGTGATAGCAGAAAGTATTTTCTTGCAACAATTAACAGGCATGGAGATGGTTTGGTCTGGGAAGACTTACTGCGTTTACGGGAAGTTGTTTGTATATTGCTAAGTGATTTGCATACTGCTGGGGCAACCGGTCCCTGCGCTGTTCCCCTGGCCTCTCTTCTCCTGCTTTCTCCTGCCTTCTTCCCAGGAGGAGGATGGCAATAATTAAGCTAGCAAGGAAACACCACGAACAAAAGACTTGGCGGCAGTAGCAGGTGCTCAAAGTCACCTCTTACTTTTAAGCATATAAGATTCTGGGGACAGATCTGCCCTGTCAGTTTCTCAAGAGTAGAGTCAGACATTATTTTCTCTCTCCTGGAAGCAAAACCATTTGAGGGATTATGAATGTTATTCTGTGTCTCAGTCTGAAGTTTAAATCTTCTCAAGCATGTAGTTATTAAGATGCCAAGATGCCTCACTTAATTACAACCTTCATTATGGTATTGAATACTTTAAATGCACGATTTATCACACCTGAGGAGAAGAGCAGGTCTGTCTTAATGGACCACTCTCAGTGGGCCATCTATTGATTATCTTCTCTACTGAATTAATTCCTAGTAATCGCCTAGTGAGCAGTCATTAAAGAAAGTGTTTGCTGCAAGCGCAGGGCTGGGGTTGGTGGGATGTGATGGGCCTTTCATATTCCAGCCACTTTTGCTCCTCTTGCTGTGCTTTGAGCCCCTGTAGTCAATGATCAAAGGCCTTGAGACCAAACTGGTGCCTTCACTATACAAAGGCTTTGTTTATAGGGGACCACAGAACAGAGCAGACAAATCAATTCCGTCCTGAAGAGTTGATTCCAACTGAGCCAACTATACTTTAAACCCTTAAGATCCTCTTAAGACTCTTTCTGGTGTCAAACAACATTGGTCTACTGAAGAAAGTCTAGCCCCGGAGGTCAGTGCTTTGGGAGTTTCTATCATGTGCTGGGTGCTGTGTTGCCTCATTTTGCTGAATTTAATTCAGTCGTTGAATGAAGTCTCTCATTCATGAAGCTGACAGCAAAGTACATGTTATTGGCTGAATGTTTGGATGAGGTACCTGAGGTTCAGAATGGTTGTTGTGGGGGAGAGGAAATTCCCCCTTTTCCCTCTTAGTTCTTCTGGCTGGTCTAATAATCAAATTAACATGAGACAGATTGACAGGAAAAACATAACCAAATTTATTACCTATGTACATATGTTCTTTAAGAATATGATGCCTGAGGACAAATCATAAATTGGGCGGTTGAGGCTTATATGCCATCTTGAGCTAAAGAGAAAGGTGAGGTTATGGTTTAGGACTTCAAAGGAGAGGAAGGAAATTCACATGGAGATGGAAAAGTAAATGTTTGGTAAGTAAGTGTTTGCTGGCCCATCTTGAATAATGGGACACAGAGAGGACTTCGATCGAACAGGGCTTGCTCAGGGTCCTCCTTGTCTGTCACACACACAGTGTCTGGCAGAAGTAACTCCTGCTCGAGAGTGGTTGATAGGGTAATTAATATGGGCTTCATAACTTATAGTTTTAACGTGGACATTTCACCTAAAATGTCCAAAGGTGTGCTTGAGTGTGATATTGCTATATTACAGAATTATGTGCTTATGACTTTTTAATAAAAGAGTTTGTAACACAAAAAGGGCCTTATTTGTGCCGGACCCCTATAGTTTATATAAAACTATATGGTTGACTCCTGAACAACTGGGGAAATTAGGGACACCAACCCCCATGCAGTCAAAAATCTGTATATAATTCTCAACTCCCCAAAAGTTAACTAGTAGCCTACTTTTGACTGGAAGCCTTACTAATAACATAAACTGTTGGAGAACACATATCTTATATGTTATTTGTGCTACATGCTGTATTCTTATAATAAAGTTAAGCCAGACAAGAGAAAAATGTTATTAAGAACACCATAAGAAAGAGAAAATATATTCATTGGAAAAAAAAATCTGCATATACTTGTACCCGTGCAGTTCAAACCTGTGCTGTTCAAGGGTCAGCTGTAGTTATTGCCTATGATGAGAGCTCCCTTTCTGGAGCAGGTCCTCCACCTAAAGTCTTTTAGAAGTAGCTGGGGGAAGGTCAAAGTTTCTTCCTGATTTTTTTGTTTGTTTCTTAAAAATAACCAGCTTAAGATAATCAATATCCAAAAGGACATACTTTGGGGTAGCAAACTTTTACTCCCACTCATTATGGGTGTATTCGAAGCAAACAATAGAGGGTAGGCGGTAGCTCTGGTTCCAGGTAGGAAGCATTGAGGAGAATAGCACACTGACCTGAGGGCTGGGAAGACGAAACCCAAGCTGTGCTTCTGCTGGGTAGAGGAAGGAGGTGCGTGAAGACCCAACACCTTCCAGGTAAACTCCATTCTCTTGTTCTTTAAAAATCCCATTCAGGGGTCACTTATAGCACTAGGCAAACCCTCTGTCACAGGTACCTCATTACAAATGATCAGTCTCCTCTAACTCAGTCCTCAGGCAATACCTAATCACTAGTGCATTAGTGATTAGGTATGTTTGCAAGGCCAAAAAGTGAAGGTCTGGCTGGTCAACTCTTTTCAAACTGTAGGTAGACAGGCATTGTGGGTGTTTTGGGATAGTGTGATTGTGCAGACACTCCATTTCTCTAACATGACCCTTCACCCTTTCGGTCTTTTTGATTCAAACTGGCCTTGTCTAGTCTACTGGCGCCAGGACTCAACTAACCGCCTTTCATTTCCTTTCATCTTTGAATCCCTTAGGACATCAGGTTCTGGTCAGCGTCAAACCGCCTTAGAACAAAGTCTCAGATCTGCTGATCAAGGACACAGAGTTTTGGATCAAACTAAAGATAACATCTTGACCTCAGTTGTGATTCAGTCCCAGGCCCATGAAAAACAACCATACTCTCTTGCAACTAGACAGAATGGTGCCACAGCTGATATCACGGCCTGATACAATAAACTAGTCTTGCTCCAACCAATCAGGAGAGCCCACGGCCCCTACTCCCTTAATTACCATGATTAACATTTTTTTTTTCTGTATGTAGTCTGTTTCTGTGCAGGCCATCATGGAGCCAGGTCTTTGAGCACAAGCTCAGCTGTGACTCCAGATGTGGCGTCATTCCCTTAATTAATAAACTTTTACTTTCTTGGCTGCAAACTCCTGTTTGCATTTGATTGGGCTTTGATGTGTGCAGGTAAACCCTTTAGTTCAGCAACAGTAGCTGCCAGCAGCCTCTCTGAAGTCTGTGGTAGGCACGGGTGTGTGTCAGAGACAGGGGTAGATGTCTGTTCTCGTTAGGCACCTGATAAGATCCCTTCCAACCAAGTTGGAGAATGTCCTTTATTAGATGTCCTTTCCAATAAACAAAATCTCCAGGTGGCAGTCAATGATCTTTAAACTTTTTGTCTTCTGAAAGCTCCCTGTGAAAGGATACAGTTACTAGCTTGGCATTTTCTTGAAGGGACTCTGTCCAACCTTGGCAATAGTGTATGATGTCTCCTTTCAATAATGTCAGCTCGAAAGTTTCTTCATCTAATTTATGTCCAGCTTCAATGCATTATGATGCATGAAGGAATATAAAAAGGCAGGGTATGCCAGGGAGCCTGGAAGAACCACACAGCTCAGTTTTGGGGTTTCGCGTAGCCCTGACTATTTGTATAATTTACAACCGTTGTATACCCGTACAATATAGCTAAAAGTTTTTCATCACTTATTTTGCAATGCTACCTGTGTAAATCAATATAAAAACAAAATCTTCCAGAGTCTCTTCTGAAGCAGTGCAGTTATTTCTGCATATACCAAGATTTTTACCCTTAAAACCTCAATTTCTATTAAACACTAAGAAGTCAAATTTATGAAGACATTTTATAACCTCAAGGAAAATGTTTCATACATGTTAAAGCCAATTATTAACATGGACTTATTTTTTTGTAAACCTGGGTAAACTATATTATCAATAACTCAACAGACATGTCTGTTTTACTTAAACCAATAAACTCAAACTAACTTTTATTTTCTAAAGATTAACATTAGCTACTTAAAAAGCATTTGAGTTAGCTTCTGTACTTCTGAGAACATTAGAATAGCCAGTCTTTACAAGCACTCACCATTAATTTTAACAGACTATCTGGAGGTCGAAAATTACCTCACATTTACAACATAAGTATGTAGATACACGCTGAAAGACACAAACACAGACATTTTAGTCATGAGAAAAACTCATTAGTTTATTAAAAAAAAAAAACAGTTATGCAGTAGGCAGTTAGCCAGGCAGGAGCAGAGTAGAAATGATAGTCCAGGTATAGAAGGTCACCAGGGCAGAAAGCCCTGAATATCCAGGAACAGACAAAACTTGGGTTGGACCTTGCCCTCAGGGTGACTTTCCTCCCCTAGCATATCTCCAGTTCTTCCGTTTAGACTCCCTGACCTTTCATATTGCTGGTTAGGCAGTTCCAACTCTCCTCTGTCCTTTCCTCCCCTGGCATATCGCCAGCCATGTATTGGAACCCCTTAGAGGAGGAATGAGGGGGAACTGGAAAATAGCCTCTTAAGACTCCCATACAAGCTCTTGTCTGACCACTTCCTTAAGCATTAAGGCCTAGAGATAACATTTTGTCCTCAGCTCTGTTTCAGCTCCAGGCAAGGAAAGCAGCAAAACCAGGCAAGCACTGCCAGCCTGACTTCAGGACCAGCTGCACTGACTAATGACCTCCTGCCCTGGTGCTGACCAATCAGTAGAGACCACAACTCTGAGGGAACACAGTGGGAGAGCTGGTGAGTGTTCCATTGAGATACCCCCCTGAGACCTCCACATAAAAACCCTCAAGGCAAAGGACTCAGCACTCCTTTTTTGCTTCTATAACTTGATTCCTGAGCCCACACAGCCCAGCTGGCTCACTTTCCCACAGCTCACGTCTTCTACTTCTGTGACTTTCTGAATAAACTTTTGCTTGTATTTAAGTCTTGGCTTTGAGTTCTTTGTAAGCCAAAACCCAAGGACCAAGGTCTAACATCTGGTGCTGCCTGCTGCTAAAAATTGGATCCAAATTTTGTTTTGTAGCCATTAATGATTTGTTATCTGTCCTTGACAAAATGGGTTTCGGATGACCTCCCCCCTTTTAAAATAAGGATAGTCATTCCTTAACACCTCAAAGAATTGGGCTGACACCTAAACAACATTGTAGGTTGATCCATTTATCTAGGTCTTATTTTTGAAGATTCCAGAGACCAATTAAATATGTTTTCCATTAACTCTTCCTAATTTTATAGTGAACTATTTCCAATTGTGTACACACAAAATTAATTTAGAAGTATCAAAGAATCCTAATCTCAGCTATTGATGGGGTTTGTTGGCCTTGGAGGCATTATGTCACTCATTAATTTTAGTTTTTCCTTTCAGATCTGTAGAGTCTGAACCAACTTCTAAGGAAAAGCAGCCTTTACAGGCACATCTCCAGATGAGCCAAATACACTGAATATCCCTATAGGACTGCTTCATGCCCTAGAGGAAATTTTTGGATTCTTAATCACCTAAGAATACCCTAGCAAGGGCCAGCAGGAGCTACTGGGTGGCACTGGATCCATAATGCTTCCCAGGCACCAGTCCCTCTCCCGAGGTGAACCCATCCCAGAGTGTCCGCCCTTCACAAACAACTCTGCCCTGGGGCTTCTCCAGAATGGGTTGCATTAGCACACTGGATGCCTCGGGGCACTCGTCTCCACCACTCTGGACTGAGGGGAATGCGACAACTATCATCACTTCTTCTGGCTCTGTAGTTTGTGGAAGCAAGTGTCCTTTCCCCTTCAGAGCTAAAGAGAGTTCCATTTCCCATTTAACCAGCAAAGACGTTGTACAGACTCTCAGTAAGCCATCCAGTGGAAAAGTTGAAATTAAAAACAGCAATCCAATTTTTTTCCCCTTTCCCTAGGTTATCTCAACCCTTACCTCAAAGATTTTCTAAGATGGGCCCAAATACAGTCATGGACCTGCTACTTAAAGTGAGGAGCCTGGGATTCTGAGAGAAGACTCAAGTGCAACTGTTAGCGTGGTTGGTGACACAGACTGTGAAACAATTCAAGAAGAGAAGAAATTGCAGAAAGTAAAGTTTTTATTTTACTTCTCCAAGAGAGGGAAAGGGCTAGGTGCAGAGAAGTGTACTAGCACTGAGGGTTTTGAGCTTTTATGGAATTATAACTGGATTAAAAAATAGTGTGTGGGGGGGTGCTGTTGTGTGGGCCCTGGGCTGTCAGGAGCATTGTAACACAGGAAGTTGTGGCTGGTTTTGCATTAGCTGCAGCTTGTTCCAGTGCTATCTTCTGCCTGCAGCTATGGAGAACGGTTAGTTCTGTTCTTGCTTTCCAGTAATTTCCAGTCCTGGGGACATAAGCTCAGAAGAGTAAAATGGCAGTCGTGTTCAACAAGGTCGTAGGCCTGCTAGGCAAATGGTGCCACCACAGCACATGGCGCTGGCTTTGTCCTTTCAACAGCCGGCCCGAGCTTGTCGCTAGCACAGATGGGTCCAGGTCTGCGGAGAGGTCCAGGGTGAGCATCTTCAGAATCCAGTCCACGATGCCAAGTAAATGTCAACATAAGAAACGTCAAACCTGTAAAGAATTTTTATAAGCTATTATTTGAAGCAAACTGATGACAATTGCCAGGAAATAAGATTCAAATGTTTTGAAGAATACATTTTCTTTTATGCATTTGAAATTAAGAGGGAAACAAGGAAAATTATAGGAAGGTGGGAGAAAGCTAGGTGGGGATTGGATTATTGGTTAGTTAACAAGATTCTGTGCTCTCCTGAGGGTAGTAAGGCTTATATCAACTAATTCACAGAAACAATAGACAGGGCTTGCTTTAGACAAAGATAAACGTGTCTGGGGCGTGACTACCCCCACAACCTGCTCCATTGGTAATTTATGACCAGTTCACCCTGTGATGTTACTTTGCACAGAATCTCCCCGCCCCTTTTTTTGTCTGCAGTGGGAATAGGACCTCTTCCTTCTGACTCTCCTCTATGCATTTATACATAACGCAAAGGTCTTGGATCTTAAAGGCTGTTGTGTCCCTCGGGGGCAGCTAACGCCAGAGCAGAGACTCAGTATGCCCTGGGCCCTTGGCAAGATGTGCTCCTGAACCTGCTTGCTCCTAGTATCACCCCAACATCACAGTCTCTCTCACTTTGTATGTTAATCCTCACTCAAGGGGTAAAAAAATTAATACCAATTTAGTTGTACTTTAAAAAAATAGGGAAAACACTTAAACCTCAGAGTTAAGTCTTTTGAAGTGCCCCCTCCCCACCACCCCGTGTGGATCTCCACTCTATCCCTTTGGTACCCAGATTTAGCCCCTGGCAGTAAGCTACCCAGGCCACACCTTGGACAGTCCCAGCTGGGGCAGGCTGCCAGTCCTGTCCAAGGTCTCAGTGGGAAGGGCAGGCATGCTTTTGCCTGCCTGAAAAACTGCCACTTACTTGAAGGTCACACGGTCTGTGCTTCACTGGTAGTGTTTCCTTGCCCTGAGTGTAGGCACTCCTGCCCTTGTAGTTCTCATCACAAGTTTCTGGGAATTCCCAGGGAATGCCCTACATTCACTCACAAAATGATCCCAGTCTGACTTGTGTTTCTTCTTTTTTGTGAACTCCATGTAGCCTTGTGGGGTGGTGGGGAGGAGGAGGCACAGGCCTGTGTCACCTTCTGACAGGAGGGTATCAACTGGGTACAGCTCAGGCCAGGGACCCTGCAGAGATTTCTCGGGAAACTGCTGTTTCAGATGTCAGTCATGCCCTTCTCTCCCTGGGACCCAGGCACCCAGGCGGAAATCAGTATGGTCTGGGCTGGGGAAAAACCTGGGGTTAGACATTGTAAACACCAACTCAGAAAGTTCCCTTTTCTTTCTATTACTCAGGACTGAGTCATTTTTTGTCCTGTGACTCACAGTCTTTTCCCTCTTAGGGAAAGTCTCTGGTTTTCAGACACATAGCATTGCCGAACAGCAAGTGGGGTCCTGCTGCCGGCTGCCACCCTCTAGACAAAATTTCAGAGGCAAAGGTTTGGTGATAAAGGAGAAGAGTCGTTATTCAAAAGCTTCGCAATTTTGGAATAACAGCTTTCCACATAAATTAGTCACTTAGGCCTATCAATTAAGGGTAAACTCTTTAACACTTAAGTTCTCCTATCATTTCCTCTGTTAGTTTTTAATTATCTTATTTCTATAGGGCTAGTTTACAAACTAAAACAACATAAGATAAAAAAGCTACACAATTTTGGAAGAATGTCAGTGTCTGCCTCAGAGATCGTCCCCTCTAAAACACCCAAAGAAGAGTAACCCACCACCCTCTGCCAGGACAGCCTGATCCTGGGCTCTGCCTGGAGTTCCTTCCCTTCCAAAATACTGTCCATTGGGAAATGCAGGCAGCTGCTGCACAATCATCTGGGTGTCCTTGAGGAAGAAGAGCCTGAGAGCCAGAGCCAGCCCACCAATGGCTGTCCAAGATCCCGAGAGTGCTTCTTTTATTTCCAATCTTCTCTCCCATAATTCCCTGTGCTCTGGAGGCACTCAACTTCTCAGCCAATCCCATCCCCGGCTCTTTACCATTGCGTTGGGCAGCTGCCCCCTATGGCCCTTCCCTACTCCACCCCAGTGGTCTGATCAGATCTCTCTGTATCAAGAGTCCCCGTTACCCTCCTAGGGACCTCTGGTGTATCACAGAGTCCAGATCGATTGCAGCCGTGCTGGGCCAGTACCCAGACACACCCTTGGAATTGCCCTGTGGCTGAGAAAGTTTGTCAGCCCAACAGTTCACTAAGGCTGTGTCTTTATAACTCTAAGAGAACGAATGACTGAAAAGTTTACTGAAAGAAGAAATTAGCCCTGGACAGGTGGCTCACTTGGTTGGAGCATCCTTCCGTGCATCAGATGGTTGCAGGTTCCATTCCCCGTCAGGCACACACATGGGTTCCAGGTTTAATTCCTGGTCAGGGTGCACACAGGAGGCAACCAATCAGTGTTTCTCTTTCACATCAGTCTGTCTCTCTCTCTCTCTCTCTCTCTCTCTCTCCTGTACTCCCCACCCCACCCCCCTTCCTGTCTGTAAAATCAATGAACATATTCTTGGGTGGAATTTAAAAAAAATAAAATTAAAAGAAGAATAATTTTTTTAAAGAAAGAAGGAATTAGCTCCATTCTTCCAGTTGCTGATGACTGAAACCTCTTCTCTTCCACCCCTCATTCCACTGGTCAGCAAATCCTGAAAGCTCTGCTGACAGAACACATTCGCAGTGAGCATTTGGGGTCACCTCTACCACTTCCACCTCCTCCAACACACCAGTGCCTCTTTTAACCCCTTCTGACCTCTCCCTCTAATGGCTTTCTACCTCATGGGGTCAAATAAAACCAAAGCCCTTACAATGGCTTCAAGGCCCTACAAGTCCTGGCCCCTTGGGATCTCTCTGAGCAACACCTCTGCTACTCTCCTCCTACTCATTCCTCTCCAGCCACTGGGCCTTTGTTCTTGTGACTTCCTTTTTCTGGAAAGCTCTTCCCAGAAATACACACATGACTTACTGCCTGTTGAACTTTACTCAAATTGAGGCAGGATAGTAAAAGCTAGAAAAATTCCTGGGCAAGTGGAATAGGGGAACTGAGACAAGGAAATTAAACAAAGCTGAACAATTTGAGCAACTTATAGCCAGCTGGAGAATGGTAAGAACTTATCTCCCCTAACCAAGAGCACTTGAGAGCAAATGGTTCCTACCTTCCCTCCCTAACCAAAGAATATATAGCTTAAACCTCCCTGGTTTGGGACATAGAGAACAGAGACCCAATTAATGCCATTTGTGCCAGCTAATCCCAAGAAGAGATGAAGCCAGAGGAATAAATAACAAAAACCCCATTAAAAGCCACACCGACCCAAGATAACAATAAGACAGTATAGCGGGCCACAGAATATCCCTGCTCCCATGTGCTCATTTGGATGCATCAGTGTATTAAAAATGGACCTGGAAATCTGATAAATATCCTGTTGAAACCCTGCCCTAAGATTCTCACTCACAGAAAAAAGGTAAAAAGCCCTCAGGACAAAGACTCAGGGTGGGTTCTCTAGAGCTCACCTATACCGCTTGCTGGGCATGATCTTTTTATTTTCTCTTAAACTCTAGGGTCCCCAGAAGACTTGCAGCCAGGGGAGCAGTGGGCGGTGGCAGCTCAATCTGGGCTTTCCACCCCGCCCCTCCGATCCTGTCTCCAGGGCCCCCGTTTCTTTACCTCCCTGGGAGCTGACAACAGCCCTGCCTTGGCTCATTCCTGTCCTATAACTTTTCTAGACAACCAGAGCAGAGCACTGCCGAGGCTCTCTCCTGTTATTTCTACCCTAAGCCCTTCCTTCATTTAATTGTCCCAGCCTCAATAAACATAGTCTAAAGTCACCTGGACTTGTGTTGTGAAATCCTTCCTACACAAAGTTAAGAACCTTTACTTTAAGACTTTGTTTCTCATTAATTAGTTAAACCTAGATGTAAAAGATGGGGAAATTGCCCCAAAATCCACACAAGCAACTTTCCTCCACTTTCTTTTAAAAAATTAATTTAATATAATTTTTATTTTAATCCTCATCTGAGGAGGATATGTTTGTTAATTTGAGAGAGAGAGAGAAGCGCTGGTGTGAGAGAGAAACATCAATCAATTGCCTCACATTTATTTGTTCACACCCTGACTTGGGATCAAACTTGCAACCTAGTAGTGCCCTGAGCAGGGATAGAAACCCGCAATATTTTGGGGTACAGGATGATGCTCCAAGCAAATCACCTGGCCAAAACCTTTTTTAAGAAGGTACCCATCTATTGAGATATGACCCAATTATAAACACACACAAATTACAAACACACACACACACACACACACACACACAGATTCTATTTTGTATTTGCCCACGAGCAGGCTATGTATTATGGCGTATGGGAAAAAAATCTGTCCACTTACTAATAAGTATGTCTCAAGAGACTATCTAGATGAACCCTGGGCAAGTTCTGACAACCATTTATGGACACTGACAAGTGTGAATTTACTTTAAAAAATAGCTATGAGTAATAAAAATGTCAAGCAAACTCTTTCAGTAACCTGTATAGATGGCTTCACCTTTTTACAAAGCTTCAGCATATAAAACAGGTTCTGATCCTTTAACCAGGATAAAAGCCTATTCAAGGCTGTGGCTGGAAGCCATGGTAGCAGTAGCTCAGAGATGAATTTAATGGTTTTTAAATTATGGTTTTGGGAGCTTCTAAATTATTCTCAGAACCTGGGTAGGGCCGGCCTGACCCCTTGCATATACTCGCTTTCAAGTGGAAATATTTTGCAGGTTGGCTGCAACATGGAGATGAAAAATCGAAACACATATGTAAAGCCTGCTTTTCTGTGCCATCCCCATCCATGACTGTCTACGGAACACACAGTGCACCCGTGAGTAAGCAAGGAGAGACGGGCTTGGTGCCAGCTCAAATTATAGATTCTAAGTCAAAACAGAGTTTAAAATTCAAAACACAAAGTATCTTGGACCCAACTCACTTTATCTTCAGTGGTTGAGTATTCCTGTATGTTTCTTTACACGCCCTCGAAATCTACACTCTGACAAATTTTCAGAATTTGGTGCCAGAATTTGAACCTATGACGGTTTACCTTTATGTATCAAGTGAAATTTAAAAACAAACAAACAGAAAACAAGCAAACAAACAGCTCTCGATTAATATAGCCTGAGGCAATGACGAAACACTTGGCTTGGCTTATCTTTAGATGGTGGTGCCCTACAGGTACCCAGATTTTAATCGGTCACACAAAACTGCACATCCAAAAGAAAGAGTTTAAAGGGGTCCCAGAGTTGTTTCATACTCTGCACACCACACATATTCTGTCCTTCTCTGATACAGCAGTCATGCTGTCAGCAGAGATTTCTTTGGGGAAGACATTTCTGTGGGAAAGACATACTGAGACATACTGTCCTCTTTAGAATAAACTATGTCAAATGAAAGAGCCAGCTGCTTGCCTGTAGCTGAGCTGAGGAGAGAGAAAATTTAAATTGTAGTGATTTTTCTGTCTTCATCTCTGTCAAATCTTTTTATTCTGTATTTTAGTCTTTTCCCATCTCTTTCAAATACAGGTGAACACTGGGGAGGCTTGAAGTAAGCTGGGAAAGCGAGGGTGCTAAAAACCTGAAACTTGGAAGGAAAGGAGATCCTACATGTAAATATTACATTTCAGATTACCAGTATTTGTAAATCATCTCTATGTCCTCCTGCTTACTTTTAAATTCAACGAGCATCATCATATCTGTCAGTTACCATGTGCGAGGCCTATGCTAGCCACTGGAGGTGTTGCCAGAAATGAGACAGGATTTCCCCCTCAAGGGATTCCTCACGATGTGAGGACCTAACATAAGCAATCACAACAACACAGTAAGTCACCAAAGACACATGACATTAAAACTCAGTTGTATTTCTACAGCTTTAAAGACATTACATGGTGTTGGGGAGGGGGAGAATTGCCCCCTCTACCCTTCTGTAGTTCTTGCAGCTGGATTAATAATAAAATGATAAAACTGACATAATACTAGACAGGCAGGAGAAAAAAACAATTTAGTATGTGCACACAGGAAAATCATAATATGATGCTCAGATCATAAAATGAGGCTCAAAGAAATGATCCAACAAGGCACCTTTTTACACTTTTTAGACAAGCAGTAAGTTTGTGAGAATTGACAGGACAAAGGCAAGTAGTGCTCATTAGAAAGGAAGCAAGCTTCGGGTATTCATTAGTGAGGAGTCTAAACAAAGTAATACATTGGAAACAGGCAATGAGATTGGATTACACAGACTTCAGCTCGGAGTTTAACCCCGGTGATAGAGGGGTGTCTTCCAGGTGTGGGAGGACACGTTTCACATGGGAAATTACTTGCTCTGTTCAAGGAGATTAGGGAGGATCGACGTGCCCTGTGGCATTGGCAACTGGTCTAGTCACTTTAATTTAAAGTAATCAACATGTCATTGTGCGATATTTTGAAGTGGCCTGTTTTGAGCCCCAATGATAGTAAGAGGTAAAATGACAATTTTAACATACTACTAAGAATTTAAAATTCCTAATGATCCCAGGCTTTCTCCTATATAAAATAAATATAAAAATATCTATATTAAAGCTGCATATTTTTGTGTTGGGGATCCCCAAGACCATCTCCAAGTCAATGATTTGTTAGGAGCTTTCACAGGACTAAGCTTATGATAATACTTATGGCTACGTTTTATTACAGTGAAACAATATAGAGCGGGATCAACAAAGAGAGAAGTCGAGTGGGGCAAAGTCTGGGAAAAACCAGGCACAAGCTTTCCAGGGTCCTCTCCGTGGGAAGGGTAGTCACACAAGGTGTGCTTAATTGCCCAGCAATGAATGAAACCCTTCACAAGTGACAACTCTGTGGAATGTTACCTACCGGGTAGGTAACATTAGAGGTAACATTAGAAGCTCTTTATAGACTCAATACCCAGGGTTTTTACTGGGAGCTGAGCAGAGAGGAAAAGCCTCTAACTGGTACATACGTAGTTTCAGACTTCCAGAAGGAAAGCAGAAATTCTGCGTAAACCATGCTGTTTGCACACACAGTTTAGGCTCAGTGAGCCACTTTCATCACTCAAGAAAGGAGGAACCTTTCTGAATTCCAGCTTCCCAGAAGCCCGCCAAAGGCTAAGTGTGTAAGCAGAACTTTCAAAGGATTATGATCAGGCCTGTTAAATTAACTCTGTCCTTCACAATTTATATACACATTTTGTGCAAAATGCTCTATCACTGTATGTTTTTCTGTCTACCTGTATGCCACTTTTCTTTTTAAGATATCACTGTATGAACAACTTTCCATGCCAGTTCATGCAAGCAGGTCTACCTACTTCTTTTTTGTAGTTACATAGTATTCCATTTTAAGGATAAACAATTTGTTAACCATTCCTATATAGGTTGATATTTAGTTTGTTTGCAGTTTTGGGCATGATAAATTGCAATACAATGAGCACCATTGTGCATTACGAATTCATGCCTATGGTTTCTGTTGCATAGCCTTCTGGAAATGAAATTTCTGGTGTCATTTGATTTGGGAAAGATCACTGTGTTGCAATTTTAGTGGATGTATTAATATGTGCACAGTTTGTTGGAAAAGCAGAAGATTAGGAAATGATTAAAATATCCAGGTGACAGTTGATCAGGGCCTGAACTAAACTGTGGCAGGGGACTTGGGGAGGAGTAGCAGCAGTGTAGAGCTCATTGGAGGCAATACAACAGCCCCCAGCTGGCTGGCTAGCTAGTGCAGAGGCAGCAAGGAGGAGTTAGAGGTGACTTCCAGTTATATGGTCGGGTAGATGGCAATTAGGGGGAACACAAGGAGAGCAGTTAGGAAGCAATTATAATTAATTCAGGGAAGATACAATGAGGGCTCAGATATTCACTTGTTCATTCATTCATATACATCAAGCATCTGCTATGTATCAGCCACTCTGTTAGCTGTTAACATTGGTACTTTTTTTTAACCAAAATATTGGGATAAAAATTTGATGCAATGTGGATTCCAATTAACTTGGCAATTAATTATCGACATTGCTATTCTTTTGTGAATGGCACAAAGCTTAGTAAAAGCTGTAGAGAGAGTGATGGCCCCAGATGCTTGAATAATTTGCATACACTTCAGAGTAAAAATATGAGGAGGGAGGGGAAAAGGCATTATAAAAGCAAACAGATCTCTCTTGTGTCTAGGTTTGAAGACAGACTCCCTCCCACATGCCCACTTCAGACAAATGCCCTTAGCCAACGTGAGCAGACGATCCTCCTCCTCGCTGCCCCAGAGAACCTTCTCCCCTGCACAGTCCCGGCATCACTTGTGTGGGCTTCAAGTGGGACATGAAAGAGAGAAGCCAGTAAGCAGTTCTTTTTATTCTTTTCACTGATCTGCTGTTTCTTTCACATTCACACCCCTCCTCCCTACTTTGTGAGCCTAAAATGCAGCTTCCCAACATCTGAAGCCCAGACACATGTAAATCACAATTTGAATGACAAGGATAGCTTTATTTTTATAGAGTCTTATGCATACTTCAATAGAAACTGACATGCTTTTATACATTTTATTTCACAACTTGTTTGAATTTATATTGGAATCTGCTTTCTGATTAAGTTTTTTTTGTTTCTTGACTAGGCAGAAAAGTCCCATTCTGCATCCATTTGCCCCCAATATATGTAAAAATGTTATTGCATACATCCTGTAAAATAGCTTTTTCATAGTCTTTGAAGCTCATATGGTGGGGGGTTGGGGATGTCACACTTTTTTCTTTCTACATACAGACTTAAGTTTCTTTATTCTCCTTTTAATTCATGTAAAAAGTCAAGTTACATTCTCCAAAGAAGA